ACCCTGTGCCGGCTGCAGCCGGACCGTGCTCGGGGAGCATGGCAACGGCGGGGGAGGGGTGGCAGAGGGACGCGGAACACCCGGCTTCCTGCCAGGTGGGCTGGGGGACTGAGCCCGAGTCTGGAGATGGCCACGGGGACGTGCGAATGACCAGCGCCTGGGCGGACCCTGGACAAAGGCGGCCAGAACCGCCTTTGGCGGCGCGGAGCGGGAGCGCACCGACCTCTCAGCCCCCAGCACAGACCGTTAGACGCGAACTTCCCCATCACCCACTGACCTGGAACCCAAGCCCGATGAGAAAAAGACACCACCGGGCCTTTGGTGGAAATCTACATCTAAGACGATGGAATTCAATTTTTTTTTCTGTAATGAAATAGAAGCTTATTATGCCAGTGTGTAAACTATCAGCTGCCCCTTTTGTGGTTCAGTTCACAAATGTTTTTTATTCACCCGGTAGGCATGATCCTACCTACATGACCTGGATACGCCATGAGGATGTAATTTGTGCCTCCAGAAAGCTTTCGGACCGTTAAGATAGATGTAAGGGTTGCAGGGCAGTGATTTGAACTACTGTTTACTCCTGAAAAAATAATCTCTATGGCTTTCATCTCTTCAGTGTCAGATTCGGATCCGGTTGGACATTCACAGCATGCAAATGATTTCACAGCTGTGTCTTACGCTCCTAAGACACACCTTAAGAAGACATAAAGTTTAAATATAAAACAGATCTCATTTAAAAGCACACAGATATTTTCAAGCAATTAAAAGTCTGATGCCGGTCAGGTGTAGTGGCTCACTCTTGTAATCCCAGCACTTTGGGAGGCCCCGAGGCAGGAGGATGGCTTGAGCCCAGAAGATTGATATCAGCCTGGACAAGAACGAGGCTTCCTCTCTACCAAAAAAAAAAATTAAAAATTAGCTTGGCATGGTGGCACGCTTCTGTAGTCCCAGCTACTTGAGAGGCTAAGGTGGGAAAATTGCCCGAGCCCAGGAGGTTGAGGTTGCAGTGAGAGTCGACTATGCCACTGCACGGTGATCAAGCCACTACACTCCAGCCTAGGTGGCAGACTGGGACCCAGACTCAAAAAAAAAAACCCCAAAACAATACAAAACCAGGTCTAATACCTGTTAGGAGTTCCTCTTTCTAATACATAGACACTTAATCTAATCTCAAGAAATTCAGAAAACATTTGCAGCAATGGCTGCCATGTATGCAAAGCATGACTCTGGGCAGTTTATGACAAGCAGAGAAATGGAGTCTGGGAATGAAGATATAGAACCATTTTGGAGGACTCCTTAACATTTCATTTTTTCAAAAAAAATTAAAGCCCTATCTTCTACAGTTCTACACACCACTCTCATACAACACATCAAAGACAAAGATAGTGCCTGAATTCTGAACTAAGTACCAATGAGGTGCATTTTGTAAGGGGAAAAGCTCATGGGAGATTGGGAGGCTTGGCCAGCAGGGTTTGGGACAACCTAAGACGTAAACATTTTGTTAATATCTGAAATCACAGAAACACGACGTACTTTGTCTTTGTGTTGCTATAAGAGAACACCTGAGGCTGGGTAATTTATAAAGGAAAGAGGTTTATTTGGCTGTACAAGAAGCATGGCCCCGGCATCTGCTTCTGGTGAGGGCCTCAGGCTGCTTCCACTCATGGCGGAAGGGGAAGGGGAACTGGGATGTGTAGACCACGCAGTGGGAGACAAGCAAGAGAGAGGGAAAGAATGTCAGGCTCTTTTCAACAGTCAGCTCTCAGAAGAACTCTCAAGGGACTAAGAGAGCAAGAACTCAGCCATTACCTCCTGGACGCTACCAAGCTATTTAAAAGGGATCTGCCCCCTTGACACAAACGCCTCCCATGAGGCCTCACTTCCAACACTGGGATCGGATTCCAGCATGAGACTTGGGGGGCACCACCCCTCTCCCAGTCTCCTGGGATCTTGAATAAAAATTGGTATGTTGCCGGGCTCAGTGGCTCAGCCTGTAATCCCGCACCTTTGGGAGGCTGAGATGAGTGGA